GTGTTTTAGATAAACAAAAAGGGGGAATGCATGGAGAAACTCCACAGAGTCGACTAGAAAAAGCACTATATACAATTAGTCATCTTACAGTGCCACCAAATTCAAATAATCCTGTTATTCTGAATCATTGTCTTTCGTTGCAGTCTTCAGGCGAGACGCACCTGCCTCGAGCGAAAGTCTGGGTACGGGACCTACTCACTAAGAAGTGGGAAGGCCCGTGTGAGCTTATTGCTTGGGGTCGTGGGTATGCTTGCGTTTCCACAGATACTGGGGTATGATGGCTGCCTGCAAGATGCGTTCGCCCTGACCTGCGGCACCAGAAGCAGAACAGACAACCTCCAAGGCAACCTTCAAATGACGGCCAGAATGTAGATCATTCGATTGATGATCCTCCTGATGACGACCAAGACATCGACCATCAGCCCGGTCCGTCTACAAGCAGAGACTGAACTTAAAGTTTCTTATGTTATGGAGTCAGAATGTAGAGCCTTTAAGGCTATTTAGAATTAATGACTGGACGTATAACTGGGTTTGCTATATGTGTATCTCTTATGGCATTGCTGGAGAATCTCTCTGCCTACTTTAAATTAGTCTTAAACAAAAGGGGGGAATTGTGGATACAAAAAGGCTAGAAGCAGAAATTTTCCAGCTACTGCAGCGTCCTGTGAAAGTTCTTTTTCCCATGCAGGCTAGCTTAGAAACAGTTTGAGGGTTTTGTAAACTAAGACTTTATCTTGCACCTGTAGCTTGTTATGCAGTGTTGTTTATGGCACACTGGGAAAGTTGTTTTGAAACGGGTGTTGTAGCATTTAGCCAATCACTCTGGGAGGTGGATGGTCAAGCGACCAATTGCCTTGGCCATCCTTGTGAACCATATTATATATATATACGGATTTGTAATTAATAAACGGCTGATGCTGCTACTGCTGCTGCTGCTCCTGCTGTTGGCGTTGGCTCTTTCTCCTGCACCTGAATTCTGTGTCGTTCTTCTCTCCGTCCCCGAGACGGCAGCGACAAGATGTACTGAGATTTGGCCAAGAAAGTCGGAGAGCAAACAGTTGGCAGACCGACAAAAGGAGCCCTCGCTCGCTCTGGTTTAGAGCCAGATAGAGGCGCTTACTGCTCTGTAGCGTTGCTGTGTTTAGAGAAGCGAAGGTGTGGGGTTTTTTTTAAAGAAGTTTTTCTGATTTAGTGAGTAACTTTGAGGCAGTCAGAAACACGTGAACAGGAATTTAAAATGCTCGACTCCACTTTCTGATTGTCGCTTCCTTCAGTTCTCTAAATTCCTGCAATGTATGCAGCGCCAGAAGATCTTGCAAGTGAAGGAGCTGAACAAAGGTGTGGAGAGCATCGTGGAAGTGGACTGGAAACATCCAGAGTATGTATAATATTGTAGTTATTAAAGGAGTTAGTAGTCTCTGAGAAGGGAGTAGAATCTGCTACTTCCAGCTCCTATACTCTGCTTGAATTCCCGTTCTGAATAGCTGTACAGCCCTCATTTCCTAACCTTAATAGGCTATCAGGGATTTTATACCCTGCTCCTGTTGCTTTTGTTCCCTGCTCTCGTAAAGTTCTTCCAGGTAAACTGTATTCTAAACAATAGCTCCAATAAAAAGATGACACTGCTGCCATCCTGTTGTATAACATCTCCTTGGCAACTAACAGCGTGGAGAATATTGCTGTAGACAGAAGCATATCCTCTCTTCTGCATTTGGGAAGAAGCATAATTACTTTGACTTTTTGTCTTAACTTTTCTCTCGTTATACTTGGCCTCATCATTAGGAGGCAGGCACACTTACACTCCGTTTGTCGATTCCCTTCGCCTGAGCACAGAATCTGCAGCTGTGGTCAGTGAAAGGAGACCGCAGCTCCTGCCTGATAAGGTTTGGTTCTCACGCATCTTTTCCAGAACTATCTTTTATCAGTGACCACTAAAGAATCATTTCAGCTTTCAAATGTCTGTACATTTGTGGAGAGTACAGTTGTGGTGGTTATTTTTAATTTAATTCTAGCGATTCTGTGGAACGGAGCTGTGTCCTTTGAATTACAGCAGTTGTCTCTAATTACGAGAGTCAAATATGATTAGAATACCTGGAGAGATTTCTTTTTCCCCCAACATGTAGGACTTTACTCAGAGTGAAAAGTGTGTAATACCACCTGAGTTAAGGTGCTTGTTTATTTATACCTTTGAAATGTGTGCAAGGCCAAATTCATTAATTAAATTTATCAGTTGCAGCTAACGCTTCAAAATACTGTTCTTTCATCATGTTCTTTAACCCACAGACACAGGCCCTCGCTGCAAGGGAATGCATTTAGAGGGACTGACATGCTATGCAACAGACCAGAAAGCTTTTTGCACGACTTTGCTAGGTTTTAGTTTCTCAGTGAAACGGAAGTGGTAGGGTTCAATCCCTTTCACACACAACAAATAATTCTTGTTTCAGCATTAAAGCATTTGCAGTACCTGAAGGATTTTCTTCAGCCTCTGCTGCCCAAGACAGCAAGAGTGAAGACAGAGGACAAGTATACCATGCTCCTGAAATCATTCCGCTTTATGGAGTCTCAGCAAAAATGATCCCACTCTTTCAGGAATCTGGACACAGGTAAGCACTAGAAAAGTACAACAAAACCATTGTTACGTGAAGAGATAGACTAGCAAACCTATGCTGCCGTTGTTTTGTTAGCCATCCTGAGGAGGGCCCTGCAATGTTCTCGGGAAAGGTGATGGGACTCAAGAATATATTCATTGCTTCACAAAGGAAAGAAAGATAAGAGGCTGTGACAACTGCATTCAGCAAGTACTCACACCACTTCTCCCACAGCTCAGGAGGTGATAGCTCAAGTGTCAAAACTGATACATTTTACTTGGATTGTCTTAATTTGCCATTGGATAAGGCATGTTCTGCCCACCCGCAGTATGGTTTACCGAAAAGAGGGTGCCCAGATAATTGAAAGAACTCACTTGCCTCCTTGTGGCTGTGACAACTGCATTCAGCAAGTACTCACACCACTTCTCCCACAGCTCAGGAGGTGATAGCTCAAGTGTCAAAACTGATACATTTTACTTGGATTGTCTTAATTTGCCATTGGATAAGGCATGTTCTGCCCACCCGCAGTATGGTTTACCGAAAAGAGGGTGCCCAGATAATTGAAAGAACTCACTTGCCTCCTTGTGCCCCAGTCTTGTCTGTTTCGGTGTAGTTTAGATAGCACTCTGTAAGAGTGCATCTTCAGCTGAGCACTTGTGTACAAGTTATCCACAGTCCCCTGAAATTAGGGGTGCCATTGGGGTCATCCTCCCAAACTAGGCTCCCAGAACCAAGGGTTTTAGAGTCTCTGTAACTACTGCTGTGAGCCTTTTATCTGTTAACAGCAGCTGAGGTATAACAAGAAATCACTCCCTAGGAGACGCATTTCAGTATTGAGCTGTTGCTACCAAGTATGGTCAGGGTCGTTGCCATCTTCTGTCTTAGCAACAGAACCCAACACCTAACTACTTAGAGTAGTAAGTTAAAAAGTTTTCTTTCATTTTAGAAAAGGCAGCATCCTCTCAAGCAGTGAGGTGAGAAACATCATCATTAACTACGTGAAAGCTAATGAGTTGGTTGATGAAACAAACAAAAAGTAAGTAGACATGGAAGTTGTCCTAACCTGCTTCCACAGGAGGTGCTGAAGCTAGAGGAAAAAAGTGAACTTCTTTGCTTCTAGTGCGTGTGTTTGTTTTGTAGCCTTGTGAAGGTGGATGCCATTCTGTGTGACTGCCTGTTAGATAAAACGGAACAAGATGAAATCTCAGACCTTAAATGGGATGACCTCTTGAGCAGGTGACTGTCTTCCCACTGTAGTTTTTCAATATTACACGGATAGAATGCATGCAACTCAAAGCCACGTGTTACTGGAGCTACCAAAGTTGTAACTTCCTACTGGTAGTACAACAAAAAAATATCCAAGAGCTTCGCCTCAAGAATCTCTTGTTCTTCACCAATTAACAAGCATCTAACATTAACTGTTGTTGGTTTGTTTTTTTTTTTACCTGCTAACCATTTATCAGGGAAAGCTTCTAAACAGTGCCTGGTTCTGTGTGTAATCTGTCCGTACGTATTTATAAAGCCATCCTTTGCAATAGCTAGCGGAACATGCCATTTTTAGGCGCTGGGAGCCATCCTGCTCTTTACATGCAACACAGCTGCGGCATTTACGACCTAAACTCACCTTCAAGAGCCAAGAAGCCCGAGTGTCTGACACAAGACAATTGTTTCCCTATACTGAAAAGCTTTGCCTAATTGTCCCTCATGTCTTACTTGCCTTCAGCTTCTTCATCACACAATGCTGCTGAGGGGCCTCCAGCAGCTCCCTTTATTTCTGAAGCCACGTTTGCTCATGGGACAGTAACACACTTTATGCTGAATTTTAGGCTGAAGTTGCTTCACTGGTCTGAGAACAATACAACTGAACAGTAGTGTGAAGGCAAAATAGAAACTTTTCCTCTACAAGAGCCAGTTTATAGAATTTTACCAGTAACAATCTAAGCCTTAACTTTGGCGAGTCAGCAGATGAGCTTTCTTTTTAGTCAGTCCCTTTATTTAAATAATAGCCAGGATGCAAATCTTTGCATGAGCTCCTCGTGCATTATCTTCTTAAGATACCGATTCTTCTCACACATACCATCTTGGCTTTCGTGCAGTCTCAAAAACCTGCGAGAGGCTGCAGTGGAAAAGCACAGTCAGCATCAGCCGTGCTGCCCTGTACAGACTCACTGGATGTATTAACTTTGTTCAGGTGCCTTGAAGGGCTGCAGCCCTTACACCAGGACCTTGAGCTCTACGATCTAGACCCACAGTGTGTGGCCAACATTCTGCAACAAAAAGTACAAGCCAGTGCCACCATCACCCCAGTACCGGCAACAAAAGACAGAGTTCGGGTCCAGATCCAAGGCAACCAAACGCATCATCTGGCTAAGATGCTGCTCGGTAAGTCTGCTCTGGAGCTGGGCTGGGACTGGATACAAGAAGATACGGATTTTAATTCTTGAAGATTTACCTGAAGTGAACTCTTGGTTCTGTTGCAGAAAAATACCAGCTACCTCGGAAATACATTCAAGGCCTTGAGAAGGCTCCAAAGCTTGGCCGGAGGAAGTAGGAGAAAAATCTACTGCAAGAATTACTCCCATCTCATTATTTATAGAAGTGTTCGGCCAACAAATCGAGGATAATGTACAGGCCCCATTCACTCAAAAATGAGTCCTGGATGTTTGCGAGGTCTAGGATTCACCCAAATAATAATATTGCTCCAGCTGTTCATTTTTCATAAAAAAAAAAAGCTGAATAAAACCCCTAGCGTTATCATTTTCCATATATTTGTCTAGAATTTCCTAATGGTGCA